TTGAGAACTGGGTGTGTGTGTGTGTGTAAAAGTGAAGTTGGAACGGGACTTTAAGGGTGAAAAAGCGTAGGAATTTGAATAAGAAGATGGGTAGGCATGAGCAGTAGTATCCAAACCCCTATCCATCCTGCTCGATGCAGCAGATATGGCACCGTTAATTATCGTCTGTGGTGGCCAGAGCATCAGAAATTCGTTTGCGGAGAGACTGCTTGTATTGCGTGGACATGATACTGTCAGGATGCTCAGGCCTAGACAATAGAACGATTACGGTTCTCAACCAAAGCCTTTGGTTCGAAAACCTGACCGCAAGGAGGCGGGTTTGGCGTTAGGCTACAAGGAGTCCGTTTTAAGGAATAAGGTGCCACTCTCATTCCAACCCCCAACCTGGAGGAGCAGGAGGCTGAGTTTGTCTGGCCTCTAACCATTGACCAATCTGGTATGAGTGACTCTGAAGGTGTAAAAGCACCATCCAGCATAGATCAATGGATCACTGAGGCATACAAACCATCGCACCACGGTAAGGTCTAGCCTCATTGCGGTGGCAGTCAATGACCAAAGTTTTCTCATTTGTGTCTACTCTTGCAGCAAATGGTCTGAAATGTTCCTGATGAACAGCACATCTACCCAAGCAACCGTCACCAAATTACGGCAAATCTTCGCCAGATTCGGTTGTTCAGAAACCCTTGCACACACTTCACTTCAGCACTTTTCACGGAGTTCTGCAGACAATGCGCCGTCCAACACGTCCACTCACCGCCGTTTCACCCATAATCGCAGGGCCAAGCAGAGAGATTTGTGGATACTTTTAAGTGAGTTCTCCTCAGGTCGAAGTGGAAAGTGGTACAGTGGAGGCGATTGACCGCCTCCACTTCCTATACCGATCAACAGCAAACCACAAACAACGGGTGGAGTGTCGCCAGCACGGGTCATGATGAACAGAAAGCTGCGTATGCCATTTGGTGCCATTCAACGAAGCCCGTTGCGCTCTGTTGGCCGAAGGAACCGCCAAATGGAATGGGAGTTTAACCGGCGGCATGGGGCTAAACAACGGTCTTTTGTGCCAAAACGGAGAGTGCTAGTGCTAGACAATCGGGCAGGTCACGCAAGTTGGACACCTGGTACGATCTAATGCAAGCGCCTGAATGTCAGTTATCAAGTGATCGTGCGGACGCAGACGTGGGTTCGCCACCCAAACCAGCTACGGCCAACGCTGTGCCAATCAGAAGTAGTAAAGCCTAGTGAGCTTCCGTTTGAATTGTTGGTAGACACTTTCAATATGCCAAAGGAGTCCATAGATATTGTCTGTCAGTCCAGCAACAAAATGCACGACAGACCTCGGGACCAGTTTCTCGCGCACTTCAGTGGAGGGAATGGACCGATAGGAGACTACAAGTCAATCCCAGGCTTTCTTCATACCGTATAGCCTATCGCAGGAGGGGAGGTGTCCTGGAAAATTAAGACTCGATTGTTAATGATTATCACATCGATTTCAACTGTTCTGAAATATTCTAAAGCCAGCGCGTGACTAACAACCTTCCTGAAGATCGGGCAAATCTATGGGGAACAACTAACCTTGGTATCCGACTTTCTAATTCTAGAAGTCGAGGATCATGAGGCGACCTATAAATATGATCATGATCTGCCACCTTTGTACAGCTCCTGTTTGACTGCGGTTAACACGCTATTTTGGGCAAGGTCGTTCTGACTTTTCTCTGTATTTGTGTTCGTGGTCACGCGGAACAGATTAAGCGTAAGTTTCGGAATTGCAGCAAGTGAGTAGATTTAGCAAGTTTTATCCCAATATTCTACCTTTCTGTAATACACTCAATGAACGCATCATCCAACAAATTGCTGATACTCTGGCCACCACAGAGTATAATCAACGGTGCTCTATCTGCTGCATCGAGCAGGGTGGATAGGGGTTTTCTTGCTACTACTCAAGCCTACTCATCTTATTCCCTCCTTTTACGCCTTTTCTCCCTTATGGTCCTGTTCGAACTTCACTTTTACACACACACCCAGTTTTCAACACCCCGATTTTTCCCCTTCCCAACAAGCTTTGCTAAGCATGTATCTTCTACTTGATCTAGATTATGCGGACGATATCGTCTTGCTTTTCGACGATTTTGCGGCGGTACAATCAAACCTGAATAGGCAGTCTAGAGTGGTCCCGTTATTTGGTATGCACTTCGCACCTTCAAAGTGCACAGCGTTGCTGCAGGACCACCAGCCACTTTATGACCCCTTGACGCTTGCTAACGAGGAACTCGAGGTGGTTGATCAATTCACTTATCTTGGCAGCTGCATCAGCAATGATGGGCGCATAGAAACTGATGTGAGCTCACGCATTGCAAAGGCCAGAGCTGCCTTCTTGAACCTGCATCATCTTTGGCGACAGAAGGGAGTTTCCCTCCGTCTGAAAGGCCGTGTATACAAGGCCACAGTGAGGGCTGTTCTGTTCTACGGTAGTGAGACTTGGCCCCTTCGGTCTGAAGATCTGAGACGCCTTCAAGTTTTTGATCCTAGTTGTCTGCGAAGCATTGCTGGAGTCGGGTAGCATCAGGGTGTCCGCAACGATGATGTGCGTAGGCGAGTACTAGGTGGTGATAATTATGCTAGCTCCCTGAAGCAACAGAAAGCACTGAATAAGTTGCGTTGGCTTGGGCACGTGCTACTTATGCCTGGTCACCGCTTACCTAGGAGGGCCTTGTTTAGTCTGCCAGGTGTAGGGTGGCACAAGACTCGAGATGGATAGAGATTGACTTGAAATAAATGAGAATATGCGTAGCTCGGGGTGTGGATGCGGATTTTGAGTGGTTCTCCGAGCTGAGTGATTATTGTGCAGACGTTTCGTTGCCTGACTAGGCAACATCATCAGTGCGGGAAATGAAGTCACTGACGATCAAACTGGGTGCCGTTGGTCGGTATCGCCCTCTGGGCTGGAGCTCAAGTGACTCGCCTTGTGCTTACCTCGAGACTTTACAGGACATGGCTCGCAATCGACACCAGTGGTGCGTCTGCTGCCGTCTTCTAGTCAAATTGCTTGTTTAAAATGTGTTTGGTGCTGAGTTATTTGCGGGGTAATGGTTGATTATGACGCGGGGCAGTGAAAGCCACAAGGAAGCTGTCTCGCCGATGCCTCCTAATCTTTGCACGATAGTCAGTTGTTTGTGACCGTATGTTGTCTACACAAGGTGTAGACGCCTTGACCCTGAATGTTTGCTTAGGGATTAAGGTTTTCAGGTAATTCCCTTTTCTCTCCCTCTTCTTATTCTTCATTTCGTAGGTCCTGATTGTTGTATGGCAGCGAAGCATCAGTTCAAATGGCTGATGTACTACTGTTGATGATGATGAGGATGAGGATGAGGATGATAATGATGATGATGATGATGATGATCTTCTAGTTTCGGCTCACATGCAAACTCGGAGCGCCATTCCTTCCATGTCAACAGGCGTATGTTCAAGCAATCGGTCAAGCCCATTTCATCGGCTTCCATTTGAAGCCCTCGATCCTCATTCAGATTGGCATGCGGCGATGTACGCATATTGCTTCGGATCGGTCGGCAGGCAGCACTTGCCCGAACATTGGAAACCCTCTCGATCGATATGTGCTGCTTATCAGAGACCCGCCTGCAAGACTCGAGCTCTGTGTATGGTTTATGCTAGTTGCTAGTGAAACTGTGGCAGCAGAATACTGTTCCAACCGACTGTAGCGGCTCCCTTATTGTTCCCATCTTCAGAGTAGGCTCGCGTTCGGAATGCGGCAACCATACAAGGAATTAGTCTGATCTCCATCGCCTCCAAATTACTCGCCCCCGTAATCCTTCGCAGACTGACTGGCAATCGTAAAAGCCAGATTCGTGAGGAGCAAGTCGTGTTTCTTTGGGTTTGTGGTTGCATTAACCACATCTTCCCCTTGCTTCATTTGTTGGAGCACCGTCATATACATTGGCTTTGCACCATTGTCATGTTCATTGATATGATTCGTGCATTCGACTCGGTGGATAGACGTGCACTTTGGGTCTGTCTACTCATGAAAGGTGTACCTGCAAAATATGTAAATCTTATCCGAGCGTTTTACGCGCGTAGCACGGGCACAATGAGGGCTTACCGCAAGCTGTCGTCGTCCTTTTATATCCAGCGGTGTGAGACAAGGATGCCCGTTGTCACCTTTCCTCTTCCACTTCGCTATTGACGAAATCATGGAAATCGCGTTCACATGACACGACTGAGAAGGTGTGGATCTGCTCCCAGGAGAACGACTTTTTGAACTGGATTATGCAGACGATATTGCTTTTATCTGTGACAGTTCCCAGACGTGCCAAGCCGCGCTGAACAGATTACCATTGGCTGTCAGCCGCTTCGGGGTTTGCTTTGCACCAACGAAATGCAGTGTTCCTTCAAGATTGGCAAGGATCGCCTCCTGCGCTGACCCTTAGTGGGGATCAGCTAGAAGTCGTTCGAAAATCCGACTACCTGGGAAGTTGAATCCACGCCCGTGGAGGATATCACGAACCGTATCGCGAACGCTCGAAGTGCTTTTTCTAGTATTCGTCATCTATGGCTGCAGCGCGACAGCACTCTCGCCCTGAAGGGTAGAGTGTACAATGCAGGGGTAGGTTCGACCTTACTGTACGGTTGCGAAACGTGGACTCTTAGATCAGATTAGGATGGCTAGTTTCGTTCGACCATCAATGCCCTCGCAGTTTGATTTTTATGATTTTTATTTCCAAAAGAATTCGCTTTTCCTTGATTTGTATTCTCCAATCTTATTTCACATCAACAGCACGGAGGAAATTGCTGAGGCTGCGGCATCAGCACGTATCGGCGGATAAGTGGACACTAATTGGTTGGACACGGTGTAGATTGGCTATATTTTATGTTTGTCCAAAATTCAAAACGTTTAGGCTATCCCCTATACAATGACCCATTCAAGTACACGCACGGGATTTACCTACCGTTGTAGTCTTACTTGAACTTGAATGTGTCTTGCATTACAGCTCCCGGTCTATTAAGACCCATCTACACATTGGTTTCGGAAGCCCCTGGATCATGGACTTTTACCTCTACCACAGTTGACAAACAATTCCATTATAAGAGGTCCAAGGTCTCTGTTACTACAACGAAAGGTAATGGTTTGTTTAAAGTCGCTTGGATTGCTGTTGTTTGATTTTTTTACCTCATATTTTGTCTCCATCTCCATCGGCATTGTCATATTCCGTATTTGTTCTTGCTATGTGGTAACCTTTGCTCCATACTCTAAACGTGATTGTGAAGACTTCACCCTGTCGTATTTCAACAGTTTGCAGATGGGAATGGAGGCATCAGAAACCGCGAAGGACAGCGGAAGATATGGTTATCGTATAAAGTTCATGGTTTTGTCAGAGAACACGTTACTACCGGCTTGCGCAAGTCGCAATAGGGAGTTGTGCGAGCCTTTGCCTGAATATCCTACCCATAAGGCGGTGGGGCGAAGTCGGGGAGTCGCACTCATTGGAAACCAATGATCGAATGTTCAACTCATGCACCTTTCGTTTGGCCTGTTGCCAAACAGGGTCCCAATCGTCCCCACAATTTTTGCAGTAGACTGCTCCATCAGTGTGAAGCAAGGGAGGCTCTATTTAGAGGCGAGTCATATACACCACGTCAGTGTTGTTGAACGCACATTTGGATGTATGTAGGGTGAACGCTTGCTAGGCGAATACGCACTGTCGCCAACCCATTCGCTGGAACGTGGCAAACCCGAACCACTCAGTTGGCACCGGGAGGAAGTTGTTCGGCAAGCCATCTAACTACTAGGTGCTTGTTTTGTACTACAGCCTCAGATTTATTAACTCGATTTTATGCATTGGACGCTGAGAAATTCTTACTTCCAAATTAGACGTTTCATTTGTCAGCTCCATCGACACAGCTGCGCAAATTTTGAGTTGAAATATAACGATCAGCATTTACTTATGACAAGATATAGCGGCGCCATAAAATTGCTACTTAAATGCATCCATGAAAATATCTCTGTTTTTCGACTCATGTAGTATACAATTCAAGAAATTGCTTTATGCACACTCAGCAATGTACCACTTACGAAGCAATACCATTAAGAGCGGGTTGATAAAGAATAAACTGAAACGTCCTCGTATTGCAAATCGACTAGTTAGATCTAGAACGACAGAGTTGCGGGCGCTAAGGGATGGCCGACGAGCACTAGGCTTGTGTGCGTGCATTTATAAACTTGTACTTTTGATTAGTAGACGGTGTTGACAAGCGCATTGGTAAGCGTTATGAACGAGATGAATTGTTTCGGCCAATATCTTGAGGGACTCTTCCCAGAGTCTTTGGTTCAATAGCCTGACCCACAAGGCAGTGGGGGCAAGTCCAGCTCAGGAGTGTGATTGCAGCGGCCCATTGGGATTTGTATGAAGCCTATCACATACAGCTTTTGAAGATTTAGAACAATGCCCACATGTTTTCCGATCTTATTGTGTTACGCAACAAGGACCACGGGCTGCTGCAGCTGGTAGTTGATGGGTTTACACCAATGTGACCAAGGGCTGCCTGGCTTGATAGGGGCAGTGGGAAACCATTGAGTACCCGAAGCTTCTTTCCCACCATCAGAAATAATGCGTGATGTTCGTGCTCTGCGCTATTCGAGTTGTAAGCTTAACCCGTAGGCCCCATGTTTCCCATGGATAGGTTTTAAAGGATAGATAAGGTTTTATAGATAAGATTTTAAGGAGTCCATCGACTTATCTCTAACCTCCGAAGAGAAATGGATTGTGACTAACTTAATCTGTCCCCCAACCATTGACCTATCTGGTGTTGGTGACTGTGAAAGCACATGGAAAGTGCCACCCAACATAGCTCAATGGGTCACGGGGATACGCAAACCATCGCACCACGCTAAGGTATAGTCTCGTTGCGATGGCAGTATCTTGAACGACAGTTTCTTACAAGAACTGTGGTAGGTAGACAGTAGTATACCGACAAAAGTAGGCATCGGAACGCCACCTCCTCGGGATAAGTGCCTTAATTGTCTGACAATTAACTTAGAGGGCTTATCTAGAAGACCGGAAAAAATCACAGCGGAGCAGCACGTCGAGTGGGGAAGAACACATGCATTAACAATGCGACGGAATAAATCACCAGGTGCAGAGAGCTTCGCACTCGATAGGCCTAGAATGACAACCTTCTGGCGTTTATGAATGTTTCATTTACCTGGGAAACCAAGATCCATCTTAGTTCACTGTCGTACCTAAGTACTTCACTGTTATATAAGAGTACAATTTATGCACATCAATATATGAGCTTGAGCACTACGTAAGAAGCTGCTCGTACTTAGCTTCTCTTGGTGGCAAAAAGCTTGACACTTTGATGCATTAAGAGACAGATGACGAGCTTTGGTTCGTACATTGAGATCGTTCAGACGATATTGCGACCTAAACGAATGTTTAGGTGATTGATACCCAGTACGATGTCGCCAGCATACTTTAGTGGGGTCACTGGGGCTGGTATTATGCTCATGAATGTTGAAACATAATGACAAAATTGCTTCCTGAAGGACACAGGAGTTAATGCTTAGTGGGGAGGCGCATCTTCCACTATGTCGGCAATCTGAGTGCATCCAGCAAAATTTTCATTCAGCAACTGGACGATGGAGTACTCTATTCCTTAAACGGCTAGATTTTGTACACTTCGTGCTTTACCTAACCGAATGTAATTCTGTAATCAAGAAAGCATATTGTTGGTTAATATCATTTGTGTTAATCTCATTACTACAGTACACTTTTGCTTGTTAACCGAGCAAACTACGCGGCTCCTAGGTTGAATGAGGTTAATTTCATTACAAAATGTGTGTCGAGATTTTATGTTAAGTACGTCAGCTTTTAAAAGCTCCAGCTTAACGGTTCATGTGTTAATTAGAAGCAGGGGGTTGTCGAAACTGTTTACTTGCCGCATCTTCGACATGCTGTACTATGACTTCAGCCTAGTAAACTTTCACATGCCATTATGCGCACCGGCTACGATGTTTGAATAGGTGTCATATTGCGTACAAAATCCGGCCATAGGTGTGCCATATATATACATATATATATATATATATATATATATATATATATATATATATATGGTTGGCGGCATCCGGTTTCGGATTTGCCTGTCACTGTGGCAAGCCACAGGACGCCTGCGCCTACTGAGGGACCATGGATGGCTTGCGCTGCACCACCCACAGCTCCAACCACACACCCCATATCCAGTGCAAACCCGAAGGAATAAGACCGGGAGGCATGCGGATGGGAGCCACGTTTCATCAACGGAGCCGGCCCACACTCCTTCACAGGCAAACACAAGCACACTGTATTTGGGGAATCAAGCGCACACAAGACGGTGGCTGGACCGTAGTCCGCTCCATACTGAGTGCATGGAACCACTCTTCGAGCCTAACACGGCCACAAGGACCGTGCACCCCGTCCCCTCCAGCAACGACCACCTGTCTCCTGGAGCCAGTATGGACGAGGTAGTGGGTAATAGACAGGTAGGCACCTTGTCAACATGCACATCAAGCGCATCCACACCGGGGATATCAAACAACAGCCAAGCACTTGAGAGAGAGAGAAAGAAAAAGTGAAAAACTCGATTAATGCATAAGGAAGCGGTGACATAAACCTTAATGAAATAGCATACGTAATAAGTTGTTTACAAACAAATCCTAGCTAAGTGCACGAGGTCAGGAAATATAGTTCACGGAATGCCACGAACACAAATATGCTACGGAAATCGAATACAATTGGCTTAAGCGAGGTGTGCAAGTTAATGGAATATAGTACCGGTAGACATTTAAATGAGAAAGCAAAGCATTAAGGTAAAAACTGTAAACCCACCACCTGAAATAAAGAGACTTCGCATGCAAGCACGCGGTTAGTAAATCGAATTCAGCGTGCCTACAAACGCTGCGCCGGTTCGCCGTAATTCTCTGTAGGACCCGTCGTCGCTTCTGTAGTGGCCCCAAATGGCACAGCTCATGGCCCACTAGACATTTATATGAGAAAGAATATATATATATATATATATATATATATATATATATATATATACACTCTGGCTCGATCTTCTCAACTTGAATGTAAGGTAATTATATCAAAATCCCCTACTCATGAGTACATCAGAACTAAGTTTTTGCCAAAGACGCATTTTACGTCAGGCTCATTCTCTCTGCTCCACCGTCATTGTTGCGTTCACGAAGTGCCGTAACGCCTTCTGTGCCCGATCGGTGGTGACGTCGGGGGAGTTGATGAAACACTGCGTGGATAATCCTGGAAGTTAACCCACAACATAGTTTCTCACTTACGACTTAGCAGCCTTTATATCAAGCTGGTCTGATTCCAAAATAGGTTTCTATACTCAATTATACCTTTGAGTATAAGAGTGCGCTGTGTATCTCTCCAAAACCTATCGAATTAAGGTGGTAGTGTTCCAGTAGTTGCATTAGCACTTACGGATTCCTATCCGGGAATTAGGTTTCACATATATACCTGTATACAAATAACATCATTTGACTCCAGTGATCAAAACCTAGTGGCTTCAAACGAAGGTAAGTTGAAAGATCGCCTGAATGGACAATGTGTTATGTATATCCTTGTATAGTTACTTCCTGCATTTCCTGAACTTATTGCTATGTTGAATCTTACTTGGGAGTTTGCAGCTGACTCCAGACAACTGCCTATTTCAAACAGCCCTTACTCCCACTCACTTTACAGGCGATCACCGCGCCATTTGTGCGGAATTTTTTTTTATTGCATTTGCCCTCCTTTGCAAGATTCCAGAAGTGCTATGTTATTTCGGACATTGCATCCATTTTTTATGTAGTGCAGTCAGATAAACTGCTGGTTTTCACTTGATCAATCAAATGTGTCCATTATGCACCGATTTAAGTCACTTTAATCTGGTAATGCGTTTGTGTATATGTGGACCCCGAGTATTTATTCCCGACACTTCACAAAAGCAACCATCATCATGTTGGCTAGGACATTTATTTTGGTGCATCTCATGATTTAAATGTTTTATTCGCCTTCACAGAATGTTCAGCGGATAGGATACACCTCGTCTAACCCTGCGTTTTCGGTTGTAAATGGTATGAGCCCAGCGGTTCTGTGTGGCTGGTCTTTGCTCGCATGTGCCTTGCATGCGCCATGCATGGGCCTTGAAACTTCCAAGACGCATGCCCAAAAGACGCTGTTATTTGAGGTACGCTTAACACAACACGTTCGCAACAAACTGTTCCTGCAGCGCAAAAAGCTCCGAAAGTGTCGGCAGTATATTGAAAACTTTTACTGACTCCTCCCCACGACGCAGTTGCATGCTTTTCAACAGTTGCATACCGAGTGAGGCTCTACAGTGTCGCCAGCACCTATGCGTGTTCAAACTGTTTGCTCGCGATCGCAAGCCAAATGCCCGAACCACTTCATCGGTCGGATGTTGGGCAAAATACTAGGCAACTGGAGTGAACTGAGTGAAGAGGGGCGGCAAACTGAAACAAACATGCATACCTATCGGTCACATTTCCACCAAACGAAATTTTTTCCTGAGACATCTTTTATGCGCTTTTCCAGCAATCTAGTTTTCTATCATCCTTCTGATGAACTATGCCATCTCGCAATACGGTTTTGGTTTACATCTGTATTATCTGTGTCATATTTTCAGTAAGCAAACGGACTAGTTGACCCTGAACGCTTGTTGACAGACCGTATAAATCAACAGAATAGTACAGTTTGCATGATCAATACATAGAACTTTGTCACTTACCCATTCACTAGCTTTCTACTCTGTGGCAGTCAGTTAGAGTATCACCCGTAATTCGCACTGGAGTCAACTCGTTGATTGGCAGTAATGTCTGTAATACCATGCAATAGCTGTAAATTGCAGTTGTTTACAATTGATCGGGTCCTTTTTTTGGGAAATCGCACTATGCTCTATACAATTGAACATCAACGCTAGGATGTTGCACCATTTTATCCCTTTCGTTAGTCCACATAGGCGTTTTGTTCATTGTTGGATTTGGTTTGCAATACACATTCTCAACTTGGATGGAGATTTACTTGCGAATTACTCGCTTGTTCCGAGTACTTTAACTACTTTGAACTTGAGACGTATTCGGTATCATAAACCTTAGCGGTTAATGCGAAACACGAAAAGTTGTTAACCTGCTCGGATGCTCTGTCTGAAAAATTTACCCCGGATTCTGCAACCTCGAGTTGTCTCGAGCAGGTGGTCTCATCTGCGTCTGTATCTCATGCTATTCCTTGCAGGCGTTCTTTATAGTGTTTCTTAAGCTATTGCCTTCGTTCATTAGATTGTCTATGTGACCACGTGCAGTGGAGGAGATGAACCGTAAAAGAATCATCATCGATCTTATTTAAGCAAATTTTCTGGGGTTTTCCAGTGAGCTTTCGGGCATTTGTCTTCGGCAAGAAGTCGGGATTATTGCGCGAGTTCCTTCCTAAACTCCAGTAGCGAATGCCGGCAGTGTAATCTGTATGCTTGAATCTGACTATGGTCCATTGAACGTAGTTGTTACTGATTCACCCGAAAACTCGGTTGTCGGGGAGGTAGCGTTGAATCCTTGAAGGTCAGTGCGGGCTGACCTGGATCCGGTGTACCAAAAACTGCACAAGAAAGAAATTGGGCAAACCATGAACCACAACATGAGACAGAAAGAGGCGGCGACCGAACAACGAACGAGCAATGGTCACGAGATATGGGTTAAGGAGAAGTTAAAACAATTTGTTTGTCGATCGAGAGCCGATGACCAATTCAGTGAGATTGCCCGCTGCCCAATAAAACACCGACTAGGTCACGTCGACTGGTAATGGGGCATCTGCAGCAAAATTTTCCAGCTCGATGAACAAATCAATATCTGAACAACCATTCAAAGCCACAAGTATTCTGATTTATGGTCAATAGTACTTCAGCGACGGTGGTACTGTTGAACCTCAAAGTCATCTAGTGAAAGAAAGACCGGACGTACGCTTTCAAGCTCCCCACTTTTGCATTAAGTAGCGGTAACTTGTCAGAAAATCACCCCGCTGATGGGTTCATTTAACCTTCTTGACCTTATGACACCAAAACAAGTTGGACGTACCAGGGTATGTACTGTATGCACGCCACTCTTTGTTCTTTGACTCAGGACGGTCTACATTGGTTGGCGACAGGGCCAAGCGGAGAACCATGCATTCAGAAGAACTTCAGAGTAATTCTTCGAGCTTATCAAATAAGTCTATGCATTCATGCTCACATGGAGCTCCAGCCGTAAACCGAACGGAGCTACTCGAACCAGGCCAATCAATAGTTAGCGGTATCAATAGGCGCACCGTTCGCTGGCTTTCTTTCGGAATTTTCGTCTTCCACAGCTTGGGCTCCACGATCACTACGGCATGAAGAACTATGCAATCTGTCTTTCACCACTGGCTGATTAGCCTTTGCTTTAGGCCTGAAAGTAACATCATCGACGTTGTACATCAGAATGGTGGTGACGGTCTCTTATAGTTCGACATTTAATTGGACAAGATGGGGACTAGGATCTTCTTGCTCAATTGAGATGAAGTTATTTCTCTAGTATCGAACCGGGTTATATCCTGAGGTGGGAGTCAGGTGACTGCATCACATTATGGGCTGGCGGACGTCAACCATACATAGCAGTGTAACACTCAACTGAACCGGGGAATTTAAGTCCTTCACAAGTCCATACTGTTAGAACGTGCTACCGGCGCTGCTCCTTTTACAACTTCCTTATGGGCAATCGAGGGGAGTAATAAGGTCCTAGTACTGCCACTGTGACGGCAGGCGCTTAATGCCTATTAGGTTGATATGGAATTTGGAGTATGTATCAGTTACTTCCCAGGATGTAGAGCGGTGTCAACTTGCATTGGCAGGTGTGTTGCTGGATCAGTATCTAGACGGCACCGTATTATTGTTACTGGTCTCGCTGCTAACCTCTGGCTCGAGGGGTGCCATCCTGTAGAGGACATAACTATGACGCTTTTAGCCGTATTTCACAGAACGAAGCATGGAACTCATCGTCTTCAGCATACAGGCTCATGCTCCATGCAGCCTCATTATCAAATTCGGAATATTATATTTCGCAGAGACCCGTGCGAATGTGTCGCCACTGCTCCAAATTGCAGGTGTGTGCTTCAAACATCCTCTGATATTCGAGTTACGTGGGCAACATATGCGGAGCTTATTTTTTCAAGATTACCACTAGATTGCTATTATCCTAGCCAGAACATTGGCTTGAGGAAACAGTGTGTTGACAAGCCTGTCACTCGCAGCGCTCGTGGAAACCTCCCGACAACTTGCTAGTTGGTGCCGGCATTCTGGTTTCTGTTTAGAAAAGTAGAGATCTCACTCATTCCATTGCTTGTACCTTTTGCTCACGCTTTAGTTATTCATATCCCTCTACTGGATTTAATTTTTTTAATCTACCTTGCGACGCCAGATTCACACACACGAATCGATTGCGTTGCCTAGCGCAGGGAAAGTGAACGAGGCTATCGATTATCTACAGTAGCACTTCATTGGGTGATAACGGATGTCATGAGCGAGGTGGCCATATTAGTGCGAAGCACCTCACTACAGTCATTTTCCAACCCACAAACGACTTAGTTTAGAATATCCACATACGGTCTACTCCACTATATAAGCTATCCAGAAGCGAATCATCCTTTAGATTATGCTGTGGCCCGATAACAGACTATTTCAGGGTACTGTTTTGGGTACCATTTGACTAAGTGGTGCCACATGCCGGAACGCTTCCATTCTATCATGCTACCTACACTGCCGCCTGACTAATTCATAGTGCTCGGTTGGTTGCGTCACGAGCAGGTATGGGAAAGCACAATCTACTGAGGACAAATTATACCAATGCCACGAGCTAAATCTAACTGGACTTGCAATGTGCCTGCACGTCGCTCAGATATTCCGCATGCGATACATTTTAATTCACACGGAATGTACCGATCCAGTCTGTATTGCATCACACTACTATTCCACTAAGTTTATGTACTCTGTATATATGCATTTTCAGAGTTCGCGACGATCCAGTGAAAGTGGAGACAGTGATGAATATGAACTACTTTTGCAAGCTGAAAGGGTTCAGCTAGAGGAGGTAGCAGTACGAGAGTTGGAATCTGCTAAGGTAAGCTTCTGTGATGTTTGGCCAACCATTAGTAGTCCCTATTTAGTCTGAAATCAGTTCTTTAGTGTTGTGTGCGCAATCCTCGCTTACAATAGAATACGCATGAATAAAGTGGTCATTAATATGAATCTCCGTATGAGACAATTTATGAGATCTATGGCAACCTACTGAGATGCTTGGGATAACAGCAACTAGGACTCTATCGCAACAAACTACACTCGTCATCCTACCGATAAGTAAGGGGATATGAGATTCTCATCAAAAGATTCGTCACCATCTTCACGATGCTTTGTCATAAAGTTTCTATCCTAGCCTCGAAGTTCTCGATGATCCTGTGTACTCCACCTAGTCCAGTGTACATCATCATTAACAGCATTACATTTGCCATGTGAACTTATACTTCGCTGTCGTACAACCACGGTGACCTAAGGAGCGGAGAATAATAACAATTCCAAAAGAAAGACTTAGCGCCCTAATCTAACACTCAGTCCCAATGCGCCTACAACTTGTAAAGATACCAGCGCAAACAACTGGCTATCATGCAAAGATAAGGCGGCATCGGCGAGACAGCTCCATTGAGGATTTAACTACTCCGCGCCATTATTATCCCTTACCATGCAGATAACTCAGCATCAAACACACTTTAAACAGGCAGTTAGTTGGGGAGACGACAGCAGACACTGCACTGGTGTCGACTGCGTCATGCCTCGTAACGTCTTGAGGCAAGCCCATTGCGGGTCAAGTTGACTCCAGCCTGGAAGATGAGACTGACCAACAGCACCAAGTTTCTGCTACCAATTCAGCTTTGGCCCATCTCAAGCTTTGCGCTACCCTAGATCTGGTAAATGGAACAAGACCATCCTCCCTAAGTGCTGAGCGGGCATACGTAGTACGTGACCAAACCAAAGCAATTTATTCAGTGCTATCTCTTGTTCCAAGGAACTACCTTGAGTAACACTGACTAACACCCTCCTACGCACATAATCGTTGCGGACACCTTGGTGCTGCCCGATTCCAGCAATGCTCTGCAGACAGCGATGATCAAAGACTTGAAGGCGTCTCAGATCGAAGGGGCTGTCTTACTCCTATAAAGCGAGACGACTGTCACTGTTGCCAGGTAAATATAACCTTTTAAACAGCAAGAGCCCCTTCTGACGCTACAGATTTCCTCAGTTTCATCAAGGCAGTTCTAGCTTTTGCAGTACGTGAACTGGCTTCAGTCATTGCTAGTGCAACTGCCCAGGAAAGTGCATTGATCAACTGCTTCGTTTTTTGGCTTCAAGGACCAAGGGCCCAGTCTTAGTTTTAGTAATTTGCCATATGATACATATCCTCTTTGAGGTGCTGTGTTCCATTGAGGAATTCGTTGTTAGTGCGCATTACGATTCCACTACGACCTTTCCCAAACAATAAAAGTACAACTAACTCTCTCCTGTCACATTGTTCGGGTGCTGGCCTGGTATCAGTCTCTTCTAAGCCAATATTTGGTAAGTTGCTCGGTAAACAGAATTGGAGAGTACCGGAGACAGTGCACTAGTTAGGGTTCTTTATAGGATTTACGTTTCCACATGGTTCCGGTAGCCAAAGAAGCCGCCTCACAAGTGGATAAGAGTTTGTCGCAACCAAATCATTGTCGACGACCCGGTTCATCTTTCACGTTTTGGCTTGTTTCTCGACGCAGTGTCACACCCTTTTGCTCCATATTTGGTCTTGCCATTCACAAGAATGACACCAATGCATATAATATCTAATGCCCGCACATAGGATTCTCTCGCGGTCCCCGTCACCAAAGACATTCTGCGAAATCTCTTATGTTCGAAAGCATCGAGCCATCCTCTCCCACGGATGTCAACTACAGCTTGATGAGGCTCATCCACCACGTTGCATGACACATCCAGTGTGGCGGGGACTTCAAAGTTGCCGTCGCTGTTGTCATAAGAATATTGTTCTATCCTGCGCATCGCAAATCTTCTTTTTTAGCGTTTTTGCAACCCATTGTATCATTTATTATGTGAACTATTTTTAAGCTCAGCAATGCTGACTCACCTTGTCTATCAGTTGGCTACGTGACGTCCGAAATTCGTCTCCATTCGAATACTGCAAAACTCAGAAACACTTTCAGAAGAATTGTCAAGAAAATTAAAAGTAATTGCGCCGTACTGGATGGAAAGTTGGACTCAGACGCTGTCGCGCTAACAAGGCACAAATTCCGATTATCCTGTCCAGTAATGTACAATCGCTCCTCGTAAATTGTCGCTCTTGAAAAGAATTTTCCAACGCAGACTTAGTGATATTACGAGAAGGTTGGTTACATCTCAACATTGAAAATGCAGTCTTGAAGCACAGTGGCTATCGATATGATATATCCGGTCGCACAGGAAATCCCCAGCACCGCGGAGATGTGATCACCCACCTTCTGAAAACTGGTGTACATCGGTTTTACAGCTGTCCGCTTACTCAGCGGCTTCAATAATCTACTTTCTGTTGGAATGATAACTACGTTTCTTAGTGGTTTTCTATCTGTTGCAGTTGATGACGTCCAGATGGCGCCTGATATAGCACTGTCAGCGATGAAACATTTTGCAGATCTCTTTTTCTCGGAACTTCAATCGGAGTTAGGATGTGTATCTACTTCACAAGTCACTTCAGTAAGAGTATTACAATTTCCACTAAAATCCTGAGTATAACCAATTTGGTGTAATTCCACACCTGGCTCGACGCACATTTGGATTTAGTCTTTGCAGATAAACACAACCTTTTTCCATACAATAACATACCCTTTTTAATTCGGGCCACTGCGTCGTGAAGACAAAGCCAAAGCCAACTACGTTGCTGCAAGGCCATTTAGAACCAATAGACGGAGAAACTGTTCAACGGGAACATTGCAAAGTTCAAATCGACGCTCTGTTCCACCGACTTCTCAATTTTCGCCAATGAGCATCTGTCAGCTTAATACCAACACCTCACATACTATATTAATTTCTGCTCATCAGCGGCATGCTAGGTCAAGCAAGGTTCGTGGCACCCATCCTCCTACGGATACCGCTTTAAATGATAACCGGTGATCAAATCTGATGCTTTTCCGCGCGCCTGACCCAACCGATCCAATCCTCAAAGACTGTGTTTTGTGGTTTTACACAGCCCAGTTGATAGGCTCTTCGATATATATGAGGACGGAGTGGAAATGAGGCAAGTCATCCGCCTTGGCGAGAACACTGCTAAGCAGGACTGACCTATGTGAGTAACTTTTACCAAAGGGGCCAGTCCGAAACTAATGTTGTCTCCGCTGGGTTGACTAAAAGTCAAAGTGTGCATATTTGCTCCGAGATCTCCACACTATGCCATCGTCGCGCTAAAGCGGCGAACTAGAGAGGCAGAAACAAACCTACCTATTGTACATTTTCGGATGATTACAGCACGAACGGATCCCGAAACCTCCTTTAGCAAACAACCACAGTTCTTATTGTCAACATGGAGCTGCCGCTTCAGCAACCCCACACAGTGTAGCCAGCCAGCTTACAACTACTGGAAAACGGATTTCGACGACCCGACACTAGCCGCGAGCCCGATGCATTAGTCTCTGTCGTAATTTGCATCTGTTGCAGCACGCTGGTCAGTAATAATAAGTGGCGTTTATTCAGTGTGTTGTGTTTTCGTTGACAGTACTGATAACCGATGCAGCTACTTTCCAAATCAGAAGACAAAGACCTCTGGCGGAACTTGTATGCAACGTACAGGTATAATATGGGATCGGAATCAATAGTTCATGAGAGAAAGACCTAATTGAAAGTTCCTGACGATAGCAACTACTAGATGCGCAAAAACGCTTTTTGGCTGATCAAGTAGCCTGCTTACTGGAGGGCTTCAAGGCAGGTCATTCTGATTGGTCCACTTCAAACTATAACGATACCATTGGCTTATACTAATTGGCTAGCCAATCGGCTACAGGCGGCATATCACCAATCTTCTCCGGGCTGCTCCTGGCAGAGAAAGAGAGAGAGCTTACTTCGATGGCTGCTCTGGACGGGCTCTAGTAACACAGTGTTAACCGATTTGTGGATCTTAAGTGTCGGACAGTCGAACCGGTCAAGCCACATTGGTTCGACATGATAATATGGTAAGCTGGTTCATCGGCGGCGCAGACTGTAACAAATGCCTTGTCTCTGGCTCTTTCGATGACTACAGAATGTATAGAAAGCAGGGAAACTTTTGCAACAGTACAAAAACAAGCAAGCGCTGGCATTTTGAAGTGCAGCTCGCAACCGCCGCAATGCCTATTTGCGTCCAGCCACGCCCGAGAATCGACACGTGACCTGCCACTGTCGAGGGCCCGGACGGGCATCCCTAAACCTCCAGCACTAAGTGTGGCACACTTCGTGTTTGCAAATGACCAGTTGTCTGTACCGAGTTCGGTGTGCATCACTCTTAAGGAACTCGACAGTCTGGATTGTGATGTGGAAGAGGTGCGCAATTTTCCCCCGCTTGACGGCACTAAGCCTGTTGGACCTGACGGGCTCCACCCTTGGATTTTCAATCCTTTCTCGGTCGTCATTTCGCCTGTCGTAACTGACCTGTTCAATAGGTCGCTGTCCATGGGTTCGTTGCTCTGTGCGAAGACCGATTTCAAAAGACGGTGACCCCTACGAGGTAGACACTTACGCGCCAATTTGCTTGATACCTATATTTTTGCCAACGTTACCGAGAAGCTTATGAAGCACAGTTAGCTACATCTGTTCCGATCAAAAGATCTCCTGACACCCACACAACGCGGTTTCATACCGGGTCGTTCATGCATCACCCATCTGACCGTGACGAGGCTTGACTGTTTACTAGCAGTGAACCAGGGGAAATCTGTCGACTGGATCTACATTGATTTCAGCAGAGCGTTCGGCAAACCGAACCATGAGGTCCTCCTCAAGTTGAGAGTGTGCGGCGTTGCTATATCACTGCACAACCGGATGCGCATGTCTCCTTGCACGAAATTGGAAGGTACAAGTCGA